AATACCAATGCATTATATTCATAATAAATATGTCTCTTTTTATCATAAGTTGTGCTGGAATCCTTTTTTCCTATTATTTTATACGAATAAAAGACGAAATATTATTATTGAATATATTTTAGTTTTTCAATCGATTCAGACTCAGTCATGTGATACCTCTGGCTGTTGTGACTGGCTGATAGGACCAAGCTCCATTCTGGCCAACAGAGACAAAACAGGGTCGTGATGAGCAGGAAGATGAGGAGCTCTGATCACCTGACCTTCACTGGGCGGATCATAATCCTGACCGGAATGAAAAAAAAGCACACACACAAAAAAAGAAAATTAGTAGAATTTCTGGTTATTAGCCGTCTCCTTATTTCTCATTCAAACGGAAAACCCAAAGCCGAACTGGTTAGTTTATGTTAAACCAGCACAGTCCTATTAAAATTTATCTTATTCTTTTTAATAAATGACAAAAAAAAAAAACATTTGGAAATTCTGCTGCTGTTACTAAGACTCTGTGAATTCAAATATTCACCATGTCTTGGACTCCATGCAGGGAACCGTTCAAGCTGGTCATAAAATTTGGCAGAAGAACTCCTTCCTGTTCCAGAACTGAGGAGGAAAATAAAGGTATTTTGAAAAACAAAAAACTAAAATTCAGTTTTAACAACAGATTTGAGTATTGAAGACAAAACATAAGTATATTTGAAACCAATAAAAACTGTATGTTCTATAATGTAATGCTGGAATGCTGAATTGCATTTGTTGGATCAATTATACAGTAAAAAATCTAAATCTTGAAATAGTAAATAAGCAATTAGCTTTTTTATTTATTATTACAGTTTGTAACGGTACACCTCATTTTGAAAATGAGTATTTTTATCCATTTCTCAGTGAATATAGGTAATACACTGTATTTTGGTGCATTTGAAAGAAATATATTTAATAAAATAATATTTTGGTCACTGAATATCTGTAGAAATAGAAAGAGAATACAAATAAATTCATGCAAAACATTGGAAAAAAAATTCAACTCAATTCAATTTCTCTTGTGTGTGTACTATATATACACTCACTGGCCATTTATTAGGTACACCTGTCCAACTGTTCGTTAACGCAAATGTCTAATCAGCCAATCACTTGGCAGCAAATGCATTTAGGCATGTAGACATGGTCAAGACAATCTGCTGCAGTTCAAACCGAGCATCAGAATGGGGAAGAAAGGTGATTTAAGTGACTTTGAACGTGGCATGGTTGTTGGTGCCAGACGGGAAACTGCTGATCTACTAGGATTTTCACGCACAACCATCTCTAGTGTTTACAGAGAATGGTCTGAAAAAGAAAAAATATCCAGATCCTTGTTGATGCCAGAGATCAGAGGAGAATGGCCAGACTGGTTTCAGCAGATAGAAAGGCAACAGTAACTCAAATAACCACTCGTTACAACCGAGGTATGTTGAAGAACATCTCTGAACGCACAACACATCCAACCTCAGTGCGGATTTCCCACAACAGCAGAAAACCACACCAGGAGTCACTCCTGTCAGCTAAGAACAGGAAACTGAAGCTACAATTCACACAGGCTCATCAAAATTGGACAATAGAAGATTTGAAAAATGTTGCCTGGTCTGATGAGTGTCCATTTCTGCTGCGACATTCACAAGGTAGTCAGAATTTGGCATCAACAATATGAAAGCATGGATCCATCCTGCCTTGTATCAACGGTTAAGGCTGCTGGTAGTGGTGTAATGGTGTGGTGGATATTTTCTCGGCACACTTTGGGCCCATTAATACCAGCATCTTGTCAACGCCACAGCCTACCTGAGTATTGTTACTGACCATGTCCATCCCTTTATGACTACAGTGTCCACATCTTCTGATGGCTACTTCCAGCAGGATAACTCGCCATGTCATAAAGTGCGAATGATCTCAGCCGTTTTTCTTGAACATCAGAAAACATCAGAGCAACTTTGGGATGTGGTGGAACGGGAGATTCACATCATGGATTTGCAGCCGACAAATCTGCAGCAACTGTGTGATGCTATCATGTCAAAATGGTCAAAATCTCTGAGGAATATTTCCAATAGCTTGTTGAATCTATGCCTAGAAGGATTAAAGCTGTTCTGTAGGCAAAAGAGGGTTCAACCCAGTACTAGTAAGGGTTACCTAATAAAGTGCCTGGTGAGTGTATAAGTCAAACTTCAACTTTCTACTTGTAACAGACAATATCAACAAATAATATTATTTATATTTAAGGACTAAATTAATATATATTTGAATGCTTTCTGAAAGATTGTGTGTTACAGAAGTCTGGAGTAATAATGCTGAAAAGTCATCAGCATAAATAACCCAAAAAATAAAAATAATAATAGATAACTGTGCATTAACATTGAAGCTTCTAAATAATTATAACAATTAAAAAACACAACCAGGCTCTGTCGATTCTGGGTATATGGGATACTGCCTGTGCTTCAAACTGCCATTTATAAACACCCATTTTGTTGTTAGACGGCAGGTGTTTGGGTGGCCAGTGAGTCTGGTGGTGTGAGTGTGTGTTGGATGATGGTGTACCTCTGACTGCCGCCATCTGGCCATGATTGAGCAGCAGTTCTCCCTCTGAGATGTGTCTGGCTGCAGTCTCCGTCTCAGTGACAGTCACACTAGAGCTACAGCTGCTCTCTGAGGATGAGGAAGAAGATTCAGACTTCTGGATCACAGGAGGAAGAGGAGGCGCTGGAGGAGACTGGGGTTTGGAAAGGACAGGTGAAGAGGGATGGATGACTGATTCTTCTTGATCATCCACTCGGGGAACTGATATTACACTGCGAGTGAGAGAAATTGAGGATTTTAGTAATAACAAAAAAAAGCAAATTTCTCCATGTACTCTAACAGAAAAGTGAAATGAAAAAAAAAAGTTTTTTTTAATTTTAGTTTATAATTACATTTACAAGTTTGAAAGTGCATTTGTACAAACTGTTGGAAAATAGAAATTAAAAGGAATAATAACAGGTTTTTAAGAATATTTGTAAGAAATATTTCAAAATCTTAAATCCACAAGCTGATGTTCTGTTACACCTAGCTACAATTACATATCAGACATAACACATAATACACAAATACACTTCATTGAACATGGACACATAGGGCCCTATCATACACCCAGTGCAATAAAGCACAAGATGTTTTTGCCCAGATGTGTTGCTATTTTCAGACCAGTGCAACAGTAATTTGAATGTTTTCTGCCACGTTGTTTAAATAGCAAATCCATTTACACCTCTTTGTGGATTCATGGGTGTTCTGGTCTAGAAAAGAGGTGTGTTAAGGTGCATTGTTGGGGCGCCGCTATTTTGAGGAACTAAAATAGTTTGCGCAAAGGATCAGCTGAAAGCAAGTCTAAAATCCTGCACAGATAGTGATATTTGTACGCCTTAAACGCTTAAACGCAAACAACACGTTTCCTTATCCACGAAACAGAGAAAGAGAAAGTGGGAGTAAAGGCCGATTGGAAGAGGCTCATTCTTTATCCTCGTGCTGCAGATGATCTGTTTATCTGTTTTCTCGTTAGTGAAGCGTTTAGTTTTTCCACTTACAAAGTCTGCCATGTAAATAGCAAATGCACCATGGTGCGACGCAACTGACTCATAAAGGGAATGGGAGAAGACACTCTGATTGGTTTATGCTCAAAACACACCCGTAACTCATAAAGAGAATAAGCTCAACCCTGTTAGACCATGCGCCGCGGAGCAGAGCATATTTTTCCATCCTTAAAATAGCAAAAGTGGATTAGGACACAATGCTTTTTGCGCCATGTGCTTTAGATTTTGCGCCTAGATCGCTAAAATAGAGCCCATAGACATTCCCTATATTTTATATAACTGCAAGTTAACTGTTTAAATACTGTTTGATAACTTAAACTGTTAAAAGCTATTATTCATTCATTTTCCTTCAGCATATTCCCATTATTCATCACAGGTCACCACAGCAAAATGAACAACCGATAAAAACTATTAGTTACTAGTGTAGTTAAATAAATGTACTAGTAACTAATAAGGTTATGGTAACTAATAAAGTTATGTAACTAGTGTGCACCATTTTTAAATCTGCTTTGAAAAGAATCATTGTGAAAAGTGCTAAACAATTAAACTTGAATGAGATTGAACAATCTAAATTCTATTCTACTAAACTATTGTACTAAATTCTCAGGTGGTGCTAGTTACTAAAACATAATTAAAAGAGGATTTTAAAAACACTATTGCACGAATATTACTTTCAAATAAATAAATACATGTGACGTTATTCACATAAATAAATTATACACATGAACAGATGAGACTCTTTTGATGAAATACATTATGTATTCATAAACTATGCTCTTTATATAAAAAATTCCAGTAACTACAACAAGTTACTAACCTTGAACCTACCCTAAACGTAACTTGAGCCAATGTTGTTTCCTTGTATTACCAAGTATTTTGATAAAAATGTGGAACTTATGAGTACACTTTCAATGAAATAACCATCAAGTCTAAACAGGAAATATGAAAATCTATTATTCTATAGGGAGCACTGTCTGAGTTACAATCTGATGCATCAGGCTGTGGAGGCTGCAAGTGATGAGGCAAGTGAAAAAAAATCGAATCAAATGGAAAAGTCTTTCTAACAATCTTTTTTTTAAAGCACAAATATGTTATTTTCAGAAATGTCCTGTTTCTAGAATCAGTTATATTTTCACTGTTGAAACACCAGGTGGCACTGTGGGTCTATATATCTCAAACCCTCATTGAGCATCAAAATTCATGGCAAAGCCTACACTCAGTGCTACAAATACTATACAAATAAGTCAAAATGCACACAAACTGTATTGTTGTTTTTGTCATACATAATCACATATGCAAATGTCCTGTTCAATACTAAATCATAATTAGCAGATTCATATTTTATGGAAGCTGTGATGCATTACCATTTTAAAGGGTGTAAATTTTTGCTCTTCCTCAATATTTAATGCAACACCATCAAGAAAAAAAAGAAAAAGCGATGATATTTTTGCATACACTGGTGCCGGCTGCAGTTCAGGTTGTTCTTCCTCCTCCAGGGGGAGCTCTGATCCTTCCCACAGGTGGATCTGCAGGCTGCCTGGCTCTGGGCTCTGATTGGCTGGAGTAGGAGGTGAGGGCGTGGCCACTCTGGTTGGTGATGGGATTGGTGTAGTAATCGGAGTGCCCACAGGAATTCTGTCTGGACCTGAAACAAAGGCAAAGAGCGCTTGTAGAGTTGACGGATGTGTGTGAACAACTGCGCTAATACACTTTCACTAGCGTCTGCTGTGTGCTTTGGCAGCATGTAGACGCTGAGTGATTGGGCATGTTCAGAAAAAACACCGCCAGACCTGGTGAAGCAGATTCCTGAGGGGGTTTCTCAGGAGATGTTGCTGTTGAAAGATGTTCTGAGAGATCAGGGGTTCTGACAGGAGATGGAGGATCTTTTAGGCTGGGTTCGGGAGTGGGTGCCGGTGTAGGTACTGTAGTGTCCTCCTGTAATATTAGCACAACATTACCACATTTGCCTTTAAAATGACTTTATAGTTGTTGTTTTTTTACATCAGGGAGTCAAACAGATGTGGGTAGATTAGTGGTTTTATTTAGACACGTGCAAAAATGAACACATCGTCTTATCAAAACAGATTTTAGGTCTGAATTCAAGGCCTAAAATGCCAACTCATGTGGTAGGCTTAAAGGGTTCCTCCCAGAAATGAAAATTTTGTCATTATTTACTCACTCTTGTTTGTACTTGTTTCAAACAATGAGTTTATTTCTCCTGTTAAACACAAATAGGATATTTTGAAGAAAGTTAAAAACCTGTAACCATTTATTTTAATTATATTTGTTTGTCATACTATGTATGTCAATGGTTACAGGTTTTCAGCTTTCTTCGAAATATCTTCTTCTGTTTAACAGGCAAAAAAGAAACTCATGACAGTTTGAGGGAGAGTAAATGCTTAGGCTTAACCATTTAACCACCCATTTAGGTACAGTAGTGTCCTCTAGTAATGTTAGCACAGCATCACCACATTTGTCTTTAAAAATGTATTTATTGTAGTTGTTTTTTTTACATGAAAGTCAAACAGATGTGGGTAGTTTCTTCAACTCAAGGCCTAAAATCTCAACTCAAGGGTTAGGCTTAAGAATAGTTCCTCCAATAAATGAAAATGCTGTCATCATTTCCTCATCCTTTACTTGTTTCAAACCCTTATGAGTTGCTATTTTACTGTTAAACACTAAAGTAGATATTTAAAAGAAAGCTGAAAACCTGTAACCATTGACTTCTATTGTGAGACAAATCCTATGGAAGTCAGGTTTTCAACTTTCTTCAACATATCTTCTTCTGTGTTTGACAGACAAAAAAGAAACTCATGGCAGTTTAACAGGAGAGTAAATGTGAGTAAATTTTAATCATCAATTTAGGTACTGTAGTGTCCTGTAGTAATATTAGCACAGCATTACCATATTTTCCTTTAAAATGCCTTTATAGTTTTCTTTAGATGAGGGAGTCGAACCGATGTGGGTTAATAATTGGTTTCATTTAAACCATTACAAAAATGAACAAATCTTAAAAACAAAACAGATTTTAGGTCTCAACTCAAGGCCTAAAATATTAACTCGTGTTTTAGACTTAAAAAGAATGGTTCAACCAAAACTCTAAATTCATCTTTTCCTCATCCTTTTATTGTTTTAAACATTTATAAGTATTTTTGTTCTGTTAAACACAAAAGAAGATATTTTGAAGAAAGCTGAAAACCTGTAACCATTGACTTCCATTAATTTTTTTGTCCTACTATGGATGGATGTCAATGGTTACAGGCTTTCAGCTTTCTTCAAAATATCTTCTTTTGTGGTGTTTTTTTTTTAATGACAACAACAACTACAATATTAATATTTAAAATAATTAAAAGTAGAAAAAAGAAATGTTAGCACTAGTTTAAGTAACAGTTCTTACTGACTTATTACCTGTTAATTAGCACTTATAAAGTATAATCTTATTTCACATCCCTAACCCTACTGAATACCTAAACCCAACTACTGTCTTACTATTAATAAGCAGCAAATTAGTTTATTGAGCTATAAATCATGGTTAATGGTTCGTTAATAGCATGAATTGTACATTAAAAATAATTGTGACCAAATACACTCATAAAGGCTTGAAACACCTTGAGGTAGAGTAAATAGTGGGTATATTTATTTTCATTATTAGGCGAACCATATATTTAACTCAAATATGTAGTTACTGCAGTTTGCCTTTGGATGGCAGTATTGTGTTCTATCCTAAATCTATTTGTTTTTCATTTTGATTTAGGCTTACAAAAAAGAATCATAAATATGAACATAATCCAAGACTAACTGCTATATTGTCTGCAATCTGACTTGCTTCTCTTTCTATAAATGCACTAGGGCTGTACAATAGACTGTTTCAGCATTGATATAGCAATGTGCACATCTGCAATAGTCACATTGCAGGATCTATGCAATGTAGTCGTGATTATGGAGCCACATATGGAGTTCAGAAAGTGAGATTTTTGGAGTCATTGATAAAGTTTTACCATAACAGGGGGAAAAATTATCATTTGCATGGGTTTTAAGGCCTGTGAATGTACAGTACACTTTTAAATCAATTGTCAACAGAACAAACCACTATTATACAATGATTTGTCTAATTACCCTAACTTTAACCCAGCAAATCAAGAGCGTTTAAAGCATTCAGTCACAAGAAATTGTGTCATAATCACATAAATGTACCCTAATTAAGACTTTAAATGTCACTTTAAGCTGAATATTAGTGTCCTGAAAAATATTAGTCCAGGGGTGGCCAACCCTGTTCCTGGAGAGCCACCTTCCTGCAGATTTCAGTTGCTACCCATATCAAACACACCTGAACCAATTAATTAGGACCTGAACACCACGTGATAATTACAGGCAGGTGTGTTTGATATGGGTTGCAACTGAAATCTGCAGGAAGGTGGCTCTCCAGGAACAGGGTTGGCCACCCCTGATCAAGTCAAATTTTATTAAAGATAAAAGAAATCAGTTATTAGAAATGAGTTATTAAAACTATTAGTAATACGGTGACAGCATTCAGTTATCTTAATCAATGAGGATTTTATGTAGATTTTCAATAAGGTTTACATCAGGGCTTTGGGCTGCCATTTCATTATTTTTATTTTTCCATCGTTAAGGAACCGATTTACATGTTTAATGTAACATGCATTTATTCTGCCATATCTGTATAAAGGCTTGTACACACCGGGACCGTAATTTAGCAAGGTAATCTGAATATTGTAATAGTGGCACGTAAAGTCAGGCCCGCAGAGCAGGGCAGATTGAAACGGGTCCCCAAATCATCACCTTTCCCAAAAGCTGTTTCCCAGAATCCTCTAGTGTCTCTGGCCTTCATAGCGACAGATAAAACCCAGCTGATATAACTGAAGTCGAGATTATTCTACTTTTTTAAATATTTCCCAAATGATGTTAAAGAAAGGAAGTCATTTTTCCACAGTACTTCCTATAATATTTTTTCTTCTGGAGAAAGTGTTATTTGCTTTATTTTGGCTACAATTCAAGCTGTTTTTATCTTTTAAAACTCTTTTTAAGGTCAATACTATTAACCATCATTAAGCAATATTGTTTTTCAATTGCCTACAGAACAAACCACTGTTATACAATGACTTTCCTAAATACCCTAACTTTAACCTAGCAAATTAAGAGCGTTTAAAGCATCAAGCCACAAGAAATTGTGTCATATGTAGTTTTAAATAAAGTAATAAAAAGTATTTTATCGAATTATTTGTAGAATGAAGACTGTGGAGTGCTATTGTATGTTCGATTTCTCTACATGAAATGCTATTCATATTGCAATATATATGGCAGAAAAACAAAACATCTCACTGTCAGATTTTTCCAATGTCATGCAGCCTTAAATGTACCATCACCACTGTTAAATAAGAGAGAGTGTGTGCAAAAATACCTTCTGAGCATCTTGTGTTTGGACAGGGGTAGTTGGTGTTCCCTGAGACTCTCTCTGTCCCAGCATTGAAGCAATGATTTCAGTTAGCACTTCGTTTACATAATGTCTTATGACCTCAGAGTCCACTGGAACGCCTGTGTCCACAAACAGCTGAAGACCACCGCCACCTGCGGCCTCCACTGCCACACAAACACAAACATAAGTGCACATGGGACATTCAGCATCTCTTGTTCACAGGGTTAGTTAAGAGTACATAGCAGTGGTCAGTATGATATCTAAAAAGTCAAGAGGTTTTTTTATAGCAATGAAATAAACTGAATTAGCCCTTTAATGAGATACGTCTTTAGAAAAAATTGACCGATCCCAATACAATGCCAGTTACAATCTAACTGTTTCCATATCTGTGTTTTTGTTGTTGAAATAAAAAATAGGTTAAATAAAAAATAATAATAATACAACATTAAACAGTATCATATTAATAACACTTAAATGACAGTCACATGAGTATTTTCTTTTATTCATATAAAATTTCAGTCAACTGTGATTCAGTCTTAAAACACATTATTGTATAATTAAATAAGCTATTGAATATAATTAAATAGATAAACAGATAATAAATAAACTGAATTAAATTATATCCAATTATTTTATAAATTATTGTACATAAATAAATAAATAGATAAACAAACAAACAAATAAATAAATAAATAAATAAATGATTAAATAAATAATTAAATAAACAGATAAACGAATGATTAAATAAATAGATAAATAGATACACGAAAGAATACGTAAATAAATAGATACACGAATGAATAAATAAATAAGTAAATAAATAAATAAAATATTCAAACCAAAATTTTAAATTTAAAAAAATTACCTTTGCTTAAACAGTATCATATTAATAACAGTAAAATAACTGTAACTTGAGGATTTTCCTTCCATTCACATAAGATTTTAGTCAGCTGTGATTCAAAGTTTCAAAACACATTATTGTATAATTTGATAAATTATTGCATATAAATAAATATATAAAGGAATGAATATATATATATATATATATATATTTAAATATATATTAATATATTGAAACCAATTGGTTAACAAGTATCACATTAATAACAGTAAAATGACGATTACATGAAGATTTTCTTTACATTCAAAGACAATTTTAGTCAACTGTGATTCAAAGTCTTAAAACACATTATTGTACAATTTAACAAATAACTATAAATAAATAAATAATTAAAAAAATAATAAAAAGTAAAAAAAAATGTTTACAATTAATTCAAACCCATATAGGAACAAGATGAGTAAATAAAAAATACAAATATAAGAAATATAAATATTTTTATATAGATATAAAAAATCATAATAAACCAAATCTGGACAAAAAAATTAACAAAGATGGGCAAAGCTAAGCAAAATATACTCGCTGAAATGCAATGATTGAAAATAAATCAATGTAAATTGTGTTGGTTCAACTCTTATTAAACAAGTAGATTAAACAAACACCAGAAAAGTATTATTTAAGTGTATGTTGTAACAGGGTTAAGTGGACTATGGTAGAATCAATATGCTGATTTAAAAACGCCATATTTTTTTAATATCATGTCTGATGATATCATGTGCGTCTATAATGTGTCAAAGCCTTTTAGTTTTATTTGAAGTTATCCTAAATGAACTAAAAGAGGAATTTTAAAGCGTGATTCATGAGTTACATGTACAGTTGATTGAGACTGATCTCAGAACTTATTTTAGGACAGTGCTCACTGACCAAAGCAACAAACTGCATTTTTTGCTAACTAAGCTGCCAACACCAAAAGCATGGGTGCTTCTGCAACACTGTAAAACCCAAAAAGTTAAGGTTGTTCAAACCATTTGAGGAAACTAATTGCACCAAACCATTTAAATTTAAAAACTAATCCTAATGAGTACTGTGAACTTAATCCATTTGAGTAAATGAAGCAATCTGAGCACAGTAAAACCCGATACATGAAGAGAACTCAAACCAATACTGTAAAACTCGATAAGTTAAGGCAACTCAAACCATTTGAGGAACCCGATTGCTACAAACCATTTGAGTTAAAAAAACTAATTTATACTAATCTATACGAGTACTGTGAACTTACTCCATTTGAGTTAAAAAAACTAATTTATACTAATCTATACGAGTACTGTGAACTTACTCCATTTGAGTTGAAGTAATAAAATATTTAATAAACTCATTACCTTCAACACTGAGTTTAAAACTCTTTTCAAATGAGTAGAATTAACTGTCAGTCAGTCTTGAGTTAACTACACTCATTTCATTTGATAAAGTTGACTGTTGGGTTTTACAGTGAAGGTGGTAAGCTCAAAACTCAACGCATTACATGAAACACTTCTAAATCTTCAACTAAAGTGAAGATTAAAATCTAACAAGTCTTTCTATTACATTTAAACACCTCAGATTACTTTTATTGTCAACATTTCCCACTAGTAATTCAATCCCGCGCAAAGCATGCAGGGAATCACAAGACCCCTAACCAGATAGTTGGACCAACACAATTCCTTCATGTTTTCCCAACACAAAACGCTTAAGTTAACTTAATAGTTTAATAGTCAAATATAAGTAGACTGAACATAAAACAAGTAAATTAGCCAAAGAAATGACCAGAGTTGTGTTGTTTCAGCTCATTTTAAACAGGGAGTTTGAACAAGCAGCAGAAATCCATTGTGTTTTGCTGAATGGGATTGGGACAAAACACAGTTCTGGATTTGCAGCCTCTAGGCCTTCTACAAGGTCATTGATAATCCTTAATATCAAACATCACATCGGTTTGGGCTATTAAAATCTAACGGAGACAAATGTCCATAATCCTGTCACTCTGCCACAATATTCTGAAGTTTCTCATAAAGCCCTTAAAGTGGAGTTTGCCAGAAAAGTAATTTCAAATAACCAATTTAAGCCTCACATGCAGCCTATTCTGAATTCCTGCACCCGTAAGCATTTTAAAGCAGTGCTATTAAAAAGCTAATATACAGAAGTGACATTTTTGGCAGGGACCCTCATTTCCTTTTGTCTAGGGCTGAGATTGCGTTCAAACACACATACAGGAGGAAGAGTCCAGTCAGTCTGTGAATATGCTGACGACAGTTTGCCGCGAGCCCTCCTCTGCAAATTTGATACATCATTGATCTTTCTATTAAACGAAAGCGAGAATTAATGAGGCAGGACCTCCGCGCCGACTGAGCAGAAGTGACGCGACGGAGACGGAAGGATGGAGAAGAGGGGCTGAGCACAAGCAATCGCGCTTTAATGAGGAAATACAATCTCGCCGCGTGCTGACACGCTTGACAAATGCTCTGCTCGCATTCCTCAATGCTATGAATCAAAATTATAAGCTCACAGACTGGAACCTGGTGCTGCTCGGCTGTTCTTGCTGGTTTGTGTCACGAGTTATTGATTGCCTTGTTGATTTCTAACATTGACCAGGAAGATGCATAACGGTTGATTCACAGATCAACAAACTTCATTTCGTCTAAACTGTTAGCTCTCAAATGTCTTCAACATCAAACTTAGACATTTTTTTTTAAAGTACACATGAAATCAAAACTAGCCATGTGATTTTGTTAGCTCACCTTGCTAGTTTTGGAGTGAACAATTCATCAGTTCATGTCATTAAGAAAAAAAATTTAGTTTGCCCTTAATCTTTAACTGAAATCTGAAAATGCACTTCCTGTTTTTGTTTCAGTTAAATTCTCGGATTATGTCTGTCTGAGGTATTGGGCGGGGCTAAAATACTTAACCACGCCCCTTCAACTGACAACAAACAGAAATTGTGAGGAGGAGGAGGTGTCTGCTATGTTGTAATAACTCTTCTGGAAACCCGTTTCCAGATCTTTCTGAATGAAATGCCTTTACTACATCCAATCAGCTCACAGTAGAAAAAACAAGCCACGCCCACTGTTTTCTCATTGAATATTTTGTTTCTATAGGACAAGATTATTGTAGTTAATGAAAACAAACAAAAAACGAAAACTAGAATTGAAAAAACAATTTCGTTAACTGAAATGTAAAACAAAAAGATGAGTTTTTGAAAAAAAACTTAAATTTAAAACAAACTAAAATTAACCAACATTAAAACAATAACGTCCTCCGTTTTCATCTTTGTAAATGTGTTTAATATATAAGCCTTTTTAGAAGTAAATCTATTTACTTGCGATGCCAGTTTTACGCCAGCTGTTTGACCTGTAGGCCTATAGCACATTGTAGTCTGTCATCCTGACATCATTGACATGATCCATAGATATATACATTAGATGTCGCCTACCTTGTTGTTGTCTATTGAAAGGAATGCGTCAGTAGAGCTGCCATTTTAGTACAGGGTAGCGCTCCTTTGAAATGAATGCGGGACCACGCTACAGTGGAGGACTGTGGCCATCCAAAGCTAAAGATATACACATATATCTATGATCGGGAGTTTTCCCGGAGGTCAGTACGCCATTTTTTTTTTTTTTTTAATTACGAAAATTATAATTTCACATCCTTTTTCTACATTGATGGATCAGTGATCGCTCAGGCATTCCTGACAAAAAGCCAGTGTTTGTGTGTATGGAAATGTCCTTTCCACCCTCCCTGTTAAATCTGATTTAATTCTTGTCCTGAAACACTCCACCTCTCCTGCTTTCACTTCTCATACTGACAGAGGGAGCGATTCGTTTGTGAATGGATCTTTTGTTATGAATAATACACGTTTCTGGCACCACAGCAACTCGTTGTCAATTTCATTTGCATTGTTTGCTGATTTTATTCAACAAAACTAGCATAACCTAAGTGTTTAGTTTGAGTTAGTGCTGCTTTGCCTTATGGTGAATCCAGTAAGTGACTTTATCATCATCAATAACACTACCTGTTTAGCACAAAAGTTCATAACATACAAAAACGTAAAAAACTAAACCTTACCTATGAAATGTTCTGCCTTTGTGCTTTGTTTGCTAGTAACTACAACCACAGCGCTAAAGTCCAGCATCTTTACGTAGTAACACTGTCTTGGCTATTTACTGGGAGCACTGTACAAATATGGCGGCGCTATTGATGCATGCTCAGGGTCCATACGCGATATCTAGTCCATATATCTATAGGCCTGATCAAACTGGTCCACCTCCAGTCTAGGGTTGTGCATTTAATTGAAACCGTATCAATCGATTTGGACATACGCGATTTCTAATTCGCCTTACATCATGATTCTCCGCAGTAAGGTATTTGAACCAATCGTAATGAAGCACACCTAAACAGAAAGCGTATACAGGATGATTTAGCATAGGAGGACTTGGTGCTAATAAAGTCAACATCTGTGGTGTAGGATTTAGTTACTTTGGATACAGCAAGGCTGATGTATGGCAGGACCAGGTCAATTGTAAGTCAGTCATTTATTGTGTCTAAAAGCGCGTGGAAATCGCAAGCGCGTTGCTTCCTTCAGCATTTTCAACACGTTCTGAGGTCACTCCTTTGTTGTTGCTCGGTGACCATCAACCGTTTTCTCAGAGGATCACAACTTAACAAAACATGGCTGCAGTTCTGATACAAGTTTTATGTATGGAGAGAATTAAAAGCACTTCGGGTGTTTGAGTGTCTTGTGTTTGTCTGAGGTAACCGAAATGTGTATATTCCAAACAAAGTATGAAGCTGATCAGTCAGTTCTTGTTCGTGACTGGCGGTGCGGCATTCGGAAAAGTTACAGTTAAAGTTTGTCTGAAAAGAGATGTTTTCAATTGGGTGCGCCTGGCATAAGCACATGTGTCGCTCTCAATATGTGCACGCAGTCCACACGCTTTCATCGGAAATAATGTACATGTGCATGCAAAGATGCGAAATGTGAACGGCCTATTTCACGCCAGCATCACATAGAGGTCTTTGATCTATGCATGACAAAACAAATCAGTGAACGCACACGCAATTACTTCTGATATTTGGTTAAGCAGATCATCGAAGCCATACTCGAGTTTGACGGTACGTACGTTCACACACACACTTATGTGATTTGCCTTGGGTCTGTTCTAGAGACAATCTATAACAGCATTACTAGATGCTTTTTATTGTATGTCTTTTAGAGACATGTTACAAGTCTTTGATAAAGATCTAATTGTTTTTCTTTTGAAATGTTTCAGATTCACACTGTGAAAACAAATTCAGTCTGTCTGTTACAAAATTATGATTAGAAAAGAAACTGCAATAGCCAAGATTTGATTGTTTAAGATAGGTTTCTTATGCCCATATCGCAAAGCCCTACTCCAGTCATTCTCACTGTTACTCCCGTGACAAAAACAACAAGTGGACATGACAGCAGCACAGTGACAATACTAAATATGACTCTAGTTGACACTTAAAACTATTAATTTAACCCATTTGTGCCCAATAATGGGTTCAATTCTGTGTTAGTGATCCTGATCGTGAATGAATCATTCTTTTTAACCGGATCTTCTAAGTGAACCGGTTGAACTAGTTAACCAAATAGAACTGAATCTTTTGAAAGGATTTGCATCTCCGGTAAGCACTTATGCACAAACTACTTACTTTTTAACATGCCTGATAGCCCCCTCTGACTCGAAATAAACCAATTTCCTGAGTTATTCAGTTATTGGAACAGCACACTGAGCTCGAATTTGAGAACGGGTGAACAGTGAATTGAACACAAACAGTACATGACAGCCTGCTGAGACTGAACCAAACCTGAACTGATTAATCCTGCAGCATGGTTAAACCAAGGGTTTAAATGAGAGGATCTGGTGATCTTATTTCACAACGGAAAGTGGTAATGGAATTTAAATACATGACTCATGCTTCAGTTGAGTTGCAAAACTTAGCTGTAAGAAACTGTTCAGATCATGGTGATGTTTTAACTGACTGAAATTATGATTGCTGACTACATATTTTAATATGTTGAATCCTAAAAACTTTTATCACTGTTTTCAGTTATTGTGGACTTTAAGATGGAGAGAGTGGTCTATCCTAGGCATGGGATGATAACTGGTTTATCAAAAATATTTGAAATGTTTCTTCAAATAAAATATATTGTATTTCAATGGGGGAAAACGTTGTTGTGTTTTACCCAGACATTCAAAAAGAACTTATTTTAGAGCAGTAATCACAAAACTGAGAGGTTTTATCCAAGCTTATCATACCATCAAAATCTTATACTGGCCCATTCCTAGTCTATCTTTTAAAGATAGCTATGAGTTAACAATGAGAAAAAATGTACAATACAAAAAAACAATAGTAATAAAATGAACACATTCTCACCTATGTCTGATGCCACGCTATTCTCCGGCTCAGATTGGTGGACTGGATCAGCTTGGGCGGGATGAGGGAACATTCCAGTTATAACTCTGGCCATGACCTGTTGCTCCACCCTATATTAAAAACGATAGCAGAACGCTATAGTGTTATGCAATAATGAAAGTAATGGCATATAAGAAAAGATGAAACTAACCCCCCAAAATAAAAAGAAGAGGCCCAAAGATTCAGTTAGCATTTATTATAGATGACCTAATATACCAGTAATGGGGATAAGCATGTTATTTAAATCACCATGTAAACAAATGGGATGATTTGAAAGTCTTGCTAAATAAATCAAATAAACTTAAAAAAAAAAAAAAAAAGATATTTTTATTGAACATTTTTAATGCTATAAGATAACATCCGTCACTCATATCTAGAGTTGGGTGAAACATATTCCACAGTAACACTTTACTGTATTCTGTATTACATTTTAAATTTGTGTTATTTGATTACAGTTACTAAACTCAATGTAATTGTGTTACTTATTTCATAAATAAGGTTTTCAGAAGAAAAAATGCTTCTTTTCAATTACATTTTCTGCTGCAACGTCAGTTAATAAGCATGCACTTTAAGTTGTTGTAGAACGTGAGCTGAAACAATTGCTGTCGAGTGCAGCTGCTTCTTCAAGTGGAAATATAAACATTACTTTGATTTTATTGAGTGTAATAACCAAAATACTGCCGTGAAATGCAGTCTAAAAAACTTCAGACCCTTTTTTAACTTGACCAGCAACTTGTTCAGCACTAGTACAGAAAGACTCTATGACAATACTCTTCACCAAGAAGGATAATGGTGTCCAAACACACGACAGCCCAACTCAGCCTAAACAGAACTTAATTTTTGTGCAGAATTAGGAGTGAAAGTAGCTTTTGAATTTGAAGCGAAGCATAGCTGCTTATGGGGCCAATCACATATTGCATCTTTCACGCACATATTGGGAGCGCATATTGCACGCGCTTGCATTTCCCAGGCACAACCCAGTTGAAAACCATGAGTCACATGACAAGAACTACCCGATCATCTTCAATCTTTGAAATATATACATTTAGGTAGACTAATTACCCCAGACAAAAAGAGAACACCCAAACACTGCAGTGCTTTTTCATACTATGGATGTCAATGGTTACAGGTATCCAGTTTTCTTCAAAATGTCTTCTTTTGTGTAAAAAAAAAAAAGACAAACAGCATTGGAAAAAGTGAATGATGAGAGAATTTTAATTTTTGGGTGAACTCTTTAAGCATTTTGAAATGTCACGCTGCTGTGATCAACCCATTGTAATGTGTTTCAGTGAATGTTAAAATACTGAAAGAGCTGCAGTTTATTTTGTAGTTTTAGAAGTATATTTTATATGTTTTAAAATTAACTTCAAAGTAAAGTAATTAGTAATCTGATTACCTTTTACATTATGTAATTAGTAATGTAATCAGATTAAAATTTTCCAGTTGTAATCAATAACTTGTAATCGATTACTTTTTTAAAGTAACTTACCCAACACAGCTTATATAATTCCAATCCTGACCCTCACATGAAAAATTACAATATACATTTAATAAAATAACTATTTTTTAATTATAATTAAATAAACAAACAAATCAAATAATTTTGTTCCAAAGTTGCTTTTTGTCATTTCACATTCACGCATGGTGAACTTTGTTTAAGGATATATGTTTGATTTTAGCATTAATTTGATGCTACAAAAACAGTATGTGATGTCCTGTTTGAGATCTCTTTTGTGATCACTTTAGGAGAAAATTGAGGCTTTACCTTTAACATTGAATTTTCTATAACAGTGTTGTTTCATACGTTCTGCGGTAAAATGCAAGTTTGCCTGGTAAGTTAAATTTGTGTTTTAATTGAAAAGCTAATTAGCATTTAAATGCTGTTAGCTAGCTACCTAGTTGAGACAACATGCCCAACATTTGCCATATAAAATATTTCAGGCCATATGTATAAGGCCAATTCATCCCACACACTCAAACACCAACAAAAAATCGTGATTTTCTCACTACCCCAACAATTTTCACACACATTAATGATACAATTAATTAAATGAGGGCTAAAAAGACGTTCACGTGAAGCCTATTTAGTCCCTGGTTAGATTTGTCAGAGTTTGTTAGCATTTGTAGAATAATCTTATCAAGCTGCTCAGATGTTCCATGTTCAAAGAAATGTTCAGTCAGATCAAAACAAACTCTGACTAATTGGAGTAACACACTAATCCAACAGACTCCAACAAACTTGATTGTTGTTGTTTGTCTATGTGATTTGAATTGGCCTTAAGAGTATAGATTGGACCTTGATGCCAAGCCGGAACTTCATTTCATGATCATCACTTGAGCTTCAATAAAGCTGGGGTATTCTGGCTTCAATCCTCTTCAAGGGAAATGTATTGTATATCACTTGTTTTGTCTATGTGGTGGCTGAATGTTGTATCTTATTTATTGTACAGCTAAAAAAAAAATATTACTTAGAGTTTTGTCTTGTTTGTAGTCCAAATATCTAAAAAATTTTAAATCAAGAAGCATTTTCTAGACAAGCAAGAAGTTTTGTTATGTTTTCAGAAATAATGTCAAAATTACATGAGTTTTTCCTTAAAACAAGCCAAATAATCTGCCAATGGGCTAAGCAAAATACTATTGTGTTCACTTTGAAATAATATTATTTTACATACTATAAACAAGGCAAAAACTCAAGAATTTTTATCTAAATATGTAAATATTCTTAAATCGAGAACCATTTTCTAGACATTCAAAAAGTTTTGTCTTGTTTTCAGAAATACTGTGTCAAAATGAAGCGAGTTTTCTTTAAAACCAGCTGAATAATCTACCAATAGGGTATGTAAAATAGTATTGTTTTAAAGTGAATACAAGATTATTCTTCTTACCCTGTTAGCAGATTATTTTGCTTCTTTTAAAAACTTCATTAATTTGAACTCTTTACTTCTGAAAAGAACACATTTTGTTTTGCTTATCTAGAAAATGCTTCTTGATTTAAGAATTTAGACTATTTAGACTAAAAACCAGACAAAAACTCTAAGTAGGAAAGGCATTTTTTGCAGTGTAAGTTTAAAGTAACCCCTTTCATTTTGTGCTCCTAATGATATATTTACATATATATAGACATAGTATGGTCTCACCAGTCCACAAGTCTGTTCTCCAGCGTTTCTCTCTGCTGGATGGTGTTCAGGATGGGCTCAGTGAGAGGTGTAGACTGGGTCGGCACTGGAGGAAACACCGGGCCGTGATAGAGAGCAGCTGGAGGAGACGGCAGACCCTTAAACTCTATAGGAGAGTCTGGAAGCCCACCGTTTGTTTCCTGAATTCAAGACAGCATTGAGGAACATTTTATGAATTTTCTTTTTTTAAATAATTCACAAATGATGTTCTAACAGAGCAAGGAATTATGCACAGTATTTCCTGTACTATTTGTTTTCTTCTGGAAAAAGTCTGAACTGTTTTATTTCAGCTAGAATAAAGCAGTTTTTAATTTTTTTAAATCCATTTCAAGGTCAATGTTATTAGAAACCTCTCTGTTTCGGTTCAAGAACCTCGGAATATTTTCAAAAAATGCTTCATAATGAGCATGGAGCGCTGCGAGCTGAGGCAGGAGTGGGCATGGCTGGTGAAGCAGGGGGACAAAGAGGGGAGCAAACAACTGTTGTCAGTTGGCTAACTAAATGAGACACAAAGCGTGAGGGGACGCCTGATTTTATAGTTTACAAAGTTAAAATGCAAAGAAATAAACAGTCATTTGATGTCCAGCTACATTTGTCATTCGCAGTTTCATATGCACATAACCACAATATGTTATATCATTATGAAGATAATCGTGTTCATATAAACACTATAAATGTGGAGGACTTCTCTTCTCCTCAGTCCCTGGGTCTGAATGCAGAAACAGTGGATAGCAGTGCAGCAGGTCTCTTGCTCCGTCTATTCCAACTATTAGCCCTGCTGGTAATCGGGAGGATTTTAAACATAGCAGCACAAATAGACGATGTGTCTGAATGGTAATGAATTCAACTGATAAAAGACAAAGGCACAAACCCAATTCTATTTTTGTACCCCTTCCCCTTCAAGTGTGAAGAGGAAGGGCTTTAAAATGTACCCTTAAGAAATGGGACAGCACTTCAGCACCTGCATACATCATCATATGTCATCGTGAGCTCTTGCTTTATATGAGATCGAGGATCGCGACTGCTGTAGTTATTCCAGTTGCGTTATTTTTTGGTATTTATCTGCAGGAAATCACTAAAGGCAACGATTTCAGGTTACCATAACAATCTAATGTGGCAATAAGATCGTAACTGTACAAGTGGCCATATTCATCAATGTAAACACAAGAAAAACAACATTAAAATGAACAGTTTTAGCAGACACTGTAAAAAGCTCATTACCAGTTACTAGACTTTTCTGACAGGGTATTCGAGTGTCAGAATGTTGTGGGACTGCTCTACAGGAGTTAATATTAAGCATTATAGAAAGTAAAATTTAGCGGGGTTTTTTAAGCATGACGGTAAAACACGAGAGCAGTTATGAAGATATTAAAAACATTTGTTTGTCATAAAAAATTTGGGTCCCACTTTACATTAAGTGTCCTTAACTACTATGTACTTGCATCAAAAAATAAATACAATATACTTACTGTGTTTATAATGTATTTGAGAACATTTGTGGTGCTTTTTTTGGGATAGAGGTTGGGTTATGGACAGGTTTGGTGGCATGGGTAGGTTTAAGGGTGGGTTAAGGTGTAAGGGATGGTCAACAGTGTATTTACAAATGTAATTAAAAAAAGTTCATTACAGATGTATTTACATACATGTATTTAATCAAGCATAAGTACACAGTAAATACGTGTATTTACACAATAAGTACATTGTAACAAACTATTAACTCCTGTGTAAGTACATATTTGTTAAGTCCACTTAATATAAAGTGGGACCAAAATTTGTAATAATGACAAAAAACAAAAATGTGTGCATCTCCTGACTTCCGGGTGTAGCTATCCAGCTGTTGTGCCTGGTGTAATCTGGGAAATTTTCTTACCCCTTGGTTTCGAGTGTGGTCCTGAAAAAAACTCTCTTTCGAAGGGTATTTAACCCCTCCCCTTAGCCCTATGCCTTCAAAATAAGTGAACGAGCAAAACGAAGGGTAGGGGTAAAGGAAGGACTGAGGGGTAGAATTGGGATTGGGCCAAAGTTCTCCATTTCTCATAGAGCTCTCCCGACAAAAATGCTTGCTGCAAACCAACAGCTTTGCTGTTTCGGCCCTGACAGCATCGCGGGGAAAAACATGCAACAAACCCATGAATCAAGAAAACAATCACATATGACCCTTTATGAACAGCTAAATACTCCTTGCCATGCGCAAACGCGCTCTCACCCAGTCTAACAACTCGGCAGGTCTGCCTTGCCTTCGGAAAGCAAGTGCTCTCATGAATACTTAGGATGCAGGGTCTTCTCATAGGATAAGAAAATTCAGCTATGAATAATGATGAGAAACCGACGCATCATAACTTTAAAAGCAGATGTGGCTCCGTCACCGATTTTGATCCCGCCCTAAAAAATTATTTTAAACCTGGACGATGAAACTAGCTGACAAAAGCTCAAAATTATCCAATTTCCCCACAATTAAAGCTGACAGGTGCTAACGCTGTCCTAATTGATGCTCAGCACACAAATTTGTTAAAATTTCAAAAAAAGTTCTCCAGGGTGTCTTGGATTGTCTAAAGAACAAACTATCATTATACAATGATTTGCCTATTTACCCTAACTTAACCTAGTTAAGCCTTTAAATATCACTATAAGCTGTATAGAAGTGTCTTGAAATATATCTAGTCAAATATTATTTACTGTAATCATAGCAAAGATAAAAGAAGTTTTATCTTTATTATAAAACTATCATGTTTGTAAAAGTGTTAAAAAAATCTTCTTTCTGTTTAACAGAAATTGGGGAGGAAATTGGAAATTCAGAAGGTCTAATAATTCAGACTTCCACTCTAAATCTGCCAACAGAAGAGACTTACTGACAACACGCTACAACAAAAAATACCCCTGACAGCTTACTGGATCGGATATTTAACTTTCAACGCAAATGACAGCAAATAAAAGTGCACACCGTGTGCCGTGGGGTAATGGCAAACATATGTTAGTCTGAGTGCAATTTTCAGTGGTCATTACGGTCTTAGCAGAAGGGAAGGAAAGCAGGACGTTTGTCTTGTATAATTCCATGGCTGGATCCGCGAGCCAGCTTTCAACATTTCGGTCATTGGTTTGGATAATGCTCAGATTCCTTTGGCTCGGACTCAGGGAGGTCTGTGTAAGGAGCGATTAGCTCATTTCCAGTGGCCGGCCGCCAGAGGAAAAAAAAAAATAGAGAGGGAGAAATGCATTCTGCCAGGCGGGCGCTGGGCCCGTTTGAAGTTTATGGCTCCATCAGAACTGGCCGAGCCAAAGCTGAGGCACTGGAGACCTCAGAGGAATGACATTTTAGGAGCTGGCAGGGGTCCGTGTCCGCGGTCCAAGAGAGGAGAGAGAGAACTTGCTCACCGGGGTCTGGACTTAAGTAGCTGTGGCCTTTATTTGGTTGTTGGGAAAACTACAAGTGGGCCGAATACATGCCAGTCCCTGAAAACACACTTAATTATGTGCAACACACTCAAATTTTTATGGCTCTGAGTGTTTGGAAAATGTTTATATTTCTGAGCTCATAACTCCGATCCTAATTGCCATTCGAACAATTAGAGAGTCAAAGTAAAAAAGGACTTTTTATAGTTGTACGACTGCCAACAGACAGAAGACACTCGATTTGTAGACATGTGCTGAAGTAACAGTCCTCTGAAAGGTTGCTAGGGTCTTCTGGAAAGTTTCCAGCTTTCTATGATTTTCTAGTCTTTGGATTTGGCTCAGTCCAAGTCTTTGACATTTTTTTTCATCTGTTTATCCTCCACTAGAGTGAAAAATTACTTAGAATAGTAGCAACTTTAGCAAATCAAAGGATAGCACATGTTGTTCTAGATAAGCTTCGATGATAATAAAACGGCTTCAAATCATTAACTTTACAATGATAAAATGCAGCCTGACTGTCGTGAACTTGCTGAAGCTATGGATTAAAGTAAATCATTCTGTACATAATGTTTTGTAAATGTCCGGTAGCTGTGGATTTGCATTTTATGCATCACCAAGGACCACCGATTTAGCTGAAAACACTTTTTATTGTTCTACTGGTAAAAAAAAGTCACATATCGGCAAATTGACATTTTTGGGTGTATCCGAAAATCGGAAACATTTTATTTTATGCAGCTGATTTGATTTGATTTGATTTCAGGGTTTCTTCAAGTCAAATTTAAGACTTTTTAAGACAACTTCAAGACCATTATTAATGAAATTTTAGACTTAGACAGAGCTAAACACTAAGGATTTTTTTCTAATGGTCCAGTTTAGTAAATAGTTTTTAATGGAAGATTACTGTATGTTAAGGGATGTGTTGCTTTAGTATTATTTCCCTGATTAAGAAATTTATTTTAGAGAATTTGCTGTAGAAATGTCTACATTGTAAAAAAAAAAAAAAAAAATCCTGGTGGCCTTAAATTTTAAGCTGAATAAAATTAACCTTATGAGTCCATTGAACTTATATTATGTTAAACTGACTTATAAGAGCTCGCGTAACTTATCAAATTAAGTTAAAACATGGTTAATAACGGTTTTAATAACGGTAATATAATAATAACGTGTTTAATAACGGTAAATGGTTTTAATAAAGTACAATGAACTAAAAACATGCTGTCAGAACTAATTGATCATATATTTTTTACAGTGTAACAGTTGTTGTGAATTGTTTCTATTTGCAATATAAAAACAAACGTAAATATAAAAGGTTTATAGATGATTGGGTGTTGACCAGATTATAGCTTTACTTGGACATAGGGAAAATAAGACCTTTAAGACAATATTTCAGTGAATTTAAGACTTTTTAAGGCCTAAAGTTTTGTTTTTCTGAAATTTAAGACTTTTTAAGACCCAGCAGAGACCCTGGATTTGGGATTCAGTGCAAATTAACTGCTTAAAAAGAGTTTGAATTTATTATTACTTGATAGTATTTATTTATTTAAAATACTGCAAAGAGTGGCACCAGACAAAGCTTTTTTTATAAACAGGGCTCAGCATAATTAAGTTTCTCAGTGAATATAGGCAATGTATTTTGGTTCATTTAAAGAAAACAGATTTAATAAACAGATGTATTTATTAAAATCATATTTTAGTCACCAAATATATTTAGAAATTGAAAAAATACAATTAAATTCAAGCAAAATATAGCAAAAAAATTAGAACCTACAAAATTTCAACTAAATTTTTCAATTTTTTTGCTTCTCTTGATTTCTCCACTTTTTTTATTTGTATTTTACATTTTCCCCTAACATGTACATTTGGATGTACTAGTTTTAGACCGTTATCGTAAGTTATTTTGTTAGATAGGTTCCAGATTTGGCTTCAGTACTGACTAATCTAATGTAGATGCACAAATATAACACTGTATAGCTTACTATTAAAATTATGAATTTATATGAGAGATTTGTAAGGGGTGTACTTATATTTGCTGACCACTGTAGAACCAAAATCAAACAAAAAGTGCTTCAGAGATAATTAATTCATCTGTGCTCTTTGGACAAGGAATTCATAAAAATAAACAACAAAATCATGAGTCCAAGGCACTCGAAAAGTAAATGTTTAAGGGTTTTTCAAGAGCGCTGGACCTATGATATGGCTGTAAAGCTTTTAAATAGATTGAATCAACAATATGTATCAAAATGGTTGAGAACAAGTGATATATAAATCTACAACCAATGGAAAAATAAAAATAAAAAAAAGTACCACATGAACAAAAAATAAATACAGACATTATAAATATATGCTTACACTCACTATGACATCCTCAAAATGTTCATATTTCACAACATTTCTGAGCCAAACGTCTCTCATGTCATATTCATAATAATGCCAAACATCTAAGAGCAACTTAACACCTTCGGCACATCAATGCAAAACAATTTCTCTCTACTGCAAAGCCTCAGCGAACCGAGCTTCCTCGTAGACGATGAGTCTCCTTCTCAAACCAAAAGGGGTCACTGTGGAACAGCTCATGCATTTCTGGAGCGCCAACCCCATCCATGAATCTTCATTCTCATTATAAACACTCGTTTTCCCAGCATCTTCCACAAAAGCTTTTGAGAACAACACAGATTTGCCTGCCTCCACCTCCCGTCTAATGACTGCTATGCTATTTCGGTGCTAACTGACGCTTTGCCCTTGTACGACCGAGTGGCAGGAATCGGCCCAATGCTCAATATGCGGGGCGTCCTATGCTGCTTGTTAACGGTAAATATGAGGGGTTTACGTCTCCATGTGCATGCTCAAGTGATCCTCAAATCCTTAAGACTAATATCGGCAATGCACCACACACCCCTTCCATACCAATTCACTGAAAAGCCAATTTAGCTGCACATATTGTAATTAGTTTAATTCTCAACCCATGAACGATATTTTAAACTCTCATCCATTCTCTGGTCTTCGTTAATTACAGAAACTGATGTTCTCCTTCAGCCTTTGGCTTTGAGAATCTCATTATTGGAGCGCGGAGGCATTGATGGCCAATATTTTCCTGAGGAGGAAACGTGGAGAATGAGCATATTTGTAGATTGGGAATGAAGTAGGAAAGCGGTGGATATCCATGATAGTATATATCATGCTATTATTTGTTCCTCCTGTGGATGCCGATGCTGCTGGTTTCCAACATTCTTCAGAATATCTTATTTTGTGTTGAACAGAACAAAATCATAAAGGTTTAGAACCATTTGAGGGTGAGTAAATGTTGATGAAATGTTCATTTTTAGGAAAAATACCCCTTTAATTTTTTAATCTACCAATCAGAATCAAGCATTTAACGAGTCCTTGAAAGTTATCACATGACCTCTGAAGACTCATAACGTGCACAAGTTACATGGTTTTCTTTAAAAGTGCTGTTATGGTAATCTTTCTAGAAGCTAATTATCATTTTATACTTTTATTTGTAAGAAAAAGAGAAGCATGAACATTCTTCGAAAAAACTCTTTTTGTGTCCCACTGATGAAAGAGAGTAATAGAAGTTAGGAATGACTTGAGGATGAGTAAAAGATACTAGAACTACATACATTTTTGATAGAACAAAAATATTAATGTTGACAACACACACACACAGACCCTACAATATAAATTCACTAAAAAGCCAATTTAGCTGCACATATTCGATTCTTTTTTATTCTTAACCCATGAACAATATTTTAAACTCTCATCCATTCTCTGGTCTTCGTTAATTACAGAAATTGATATTCTACATCAGCCTTTGGCTTTGAGAATCTTATTATTGGAGCGCGGAGGCATTGATGGCCAATGTTTTCTAAATTACCCATTCAAATTTTCCATCAACCAATCAAAATAAAGCATTCAACAAGTCCTGGAAAGTTATCACATGACCCTTAAAGACTTTTACAAGGATTACATGGATTACTTTGTTACTGCTGTAACATTTTTAGAAGCCAATTATTTCTTTACGCTTTCATTTGTAAGAAAAGCAGTAGCATGAACATTCTTCGAAACATCTCTTTTTGTGTTCCATGGAAGAAAAAACATCATACAATGCTCATCCATTGTATGGTCTTCGTTAAATACAGAAAACAATACTTTTCCTCAGCCTTTGGATTAGAAAATCTCATCATTGGAGTGCGTAGGCATTGATGGCCAATATTTTCTGAATTACCCCTTTAATTTCTCCATCAACCAATCAGAATCAAGCATTCAACAAGTCCTGGAAAGTTATCACATGACCTCTGAAGACTTGTTATATAGTGCAAAAGTTACATGGATTACTTTGTAAATGCTGTAATGTTTTTAGAAGCCAATTATTTTTTTAAGCTTTCATTTGGAAGAGCATGAGAAGCATGAACATTCTTCGAAACATCTCTTTTTGTGTTCCAAGGAGGAAAAAACGTCATACAACGCTCATTCATTCTCTGGTCTTCTTTAATTACAGAAAACAATGTTTTTCCTCAGCCTTTAGCTTTGAAAAGCTTATTATTGGAGCGCGGAGGCATTGATGGCCAATATTTTCCAGAGTAGAAGGACACATGGAGATTGGGCATTTGTGTAGTTGGGTCAAACTGCAAATGAAGTAGGAAAGCAGTGGATATCAGTTGATGTCCTCAGGGTGGACACCAGACTGTGAAGTGACCTTTACGTTATAAGCTGGAGTGAGCGTGTGTGTGTGTGTGTGTGGGCTGAAATGTGCTTTTAATTGAATGTACCTGGCTGATGTCGGCTTGGGCCAAGAAATTGGTTCCGGGGAAGATGTTTTCCTCCTGATCTTCATGAGCATGTGGATCCTCAGTGGCCTGGAAAGCAATGATACAGAGACAGAGGTCAGGAAGCAAAATGGCTTCTGGAGATTACAAAATTCATCAACAGCTGAGGAGATTAGAAAGTGTGCGAGCTCATAAAATGACAGAAACAAAAGAAGAAGGTGTAGCTGTAATTGTGGGCTATAGCATGAGGTTTTAATTAGAATAAAAAATTATGGATTTATTTCAGGAAAACATATTTTAGATCTTACTGTGAACTTTTTATCCATGCATATGTTTAATAAAAAAAGACTCTTGTGAAGTTCATTGGATTTATTCAATCATTTAATCCATCGAAACGTTTTTCATTTGTCGATGATTCATTTCATTGGGATGTAATTTACAATAAAGAACAGAAGTTACACTCAAGTTTCATAACTTTGAAGGAACAGTTGAGATTTCCGACATTACTCATCCTCAAGTCTTTCAATAAAACATTGAGGAATTAGTCAGAGCCTTATGTAAAGAATAATTGAAGACGGGCCCTGAATGATTAGAAAGGCATGCGCTTATAGATACAGAAACATGAGGGAAAGCATGAGAAAAATAGCATGTGCTTTATCATAAATTATTTTCAAAATGTGTGGAATAAACTGGGAAATTCTTTACCATTTTAATTCATTCCACTGTCTAATGTACACTTACTGGCCACTTTATTAGGTACACCTGTCCACCTGCTTGTTAATGCAAATTTCTAATCAGCCAATCACATGGCAGCAACTCAAATGGATTTACATGTTTAAGATGATCTGGTCAAACTAAGCTTTAGAAAGGGGAAGAAAGGTGATTTAAGTGACTATCCAGAAATATCCAGTGAGCAGCGTTTCTGTGGGTGCAAATGCCTTGTTGAGGCCAGAGGTCAGAGGCGAATGGCCAGACTGGTTCAAGCTGATAAAAGGGCAACAGTAACTCAAATAACCATTGTTACAACCGAGGTATGCAGAAGAGCATTTCTGAACACACAACACGTCCAACCTTGAGGCGGATTCTTTCTTATAACTTAGTGATGTTTAACTGTTTGAAGCTATTTAGCAGAAAACAACTGGCCTTCAAGGTACAGTTCACCCTAAAATCTAAATTCTGTCATTATTTACTCATCTGTCACTTGTTTCACATCTGCTTGAGTTTCATTCTTCTGATGAACACAAAAGAAGATATTTTGAGGAATTATTTAAAGCAGCAGCCATTGACTTTCATGGTATTTGTTTGTTCCTACAATGGATGTTGATAGCTGCTGGTTTCCAACATTCTTCAGAATAACTTGTTTTGAGTTAAAAATAATAATAATAATAAAATCATAAAGGTTTAAAACCACTTGAGGGTGAGTAACTGATGAGGAAATTTTTAAAGTGAACTACCCCATTTAAATTTGTCAGCAACCAAATCAGAATCAAGCATTCAACAAGCCCTGGAATATACACTTAACATATGACCACTGAAGGCTTGTTTTATAGTGCACAAGTTACATGATTTACTTTAATAGTGATGTTATAATTACCTTTTTAGAACCCAAATATTGTTTTATACTTTCATTTGTAAGAAAAAGAGAAGCATGGACATTCTTCGAAACATCTCTTTTTGTTTCTCACTGAAAAAAGATTGCCATACAAGATTGGAACGACTTGAGGATGTGTAAATATATTACACATGCACTCACACATATATACAATAACACATGGTCTAATTAACCATTATATCTATTGATAATGCACGAAAGATTCAAGAGTGTCTCAACGAATCATTGAATCAATAAATCTTTCAGTGCAAGGACATGAACTGTAACTGTTTAAGAGATGTGCGTGTGTGTGTGTGTGTGTGTCTGTATAAGTGTGTATAAGTGTGTAAGAGAGAGAAAATCAGCCATCAGTTTTCCAGGTCTTTGTCTCATGCACAGAAGCCTGGTCTCCATGGTAACAGAGAGCTGATCTGCTCATGTGAATGAGAACTACGTGTGCTGAGTACGCCAGACAGATACAGTTATATGCTGCTTTTCTATTGCATTGTCCTGCTAAAGCACCTGAATTAAACTTTAAAACATTTTTTTAACCATTAATTTATTGCTTTTTATTGCTTTTTTATTTATTCTTTTGACCACTTATAGCATCCTGAGGACTAATGCTTGATATACATGATTATGAAAATGTAGAAATGACTGTGACATTAAAATATTGTACCATTCAGAACAATTAAATAAAGATAGAAAGATACAAGGATGGATGGATTGAATGGATGGATGGATGGATAAAAGGATAGAATGACGGACAGACAGACGAATAGAACGACGGACGGACGGACGGACGGACGGACGGACGGACGGACGGACGGACAGACAGACAGACAGACAGACAGACAGACAGACAGACAGACAGACAGATAGATAGATAGATAGATAGATAGATAGATAGAAATGACTGTGACATTAAAATATTGTACCATTCAGAACAATTAAATAAAGATAGAAAGATACAAGGATGGATGGATTGAATGGATGGATGGATGGATAAAAGGATAGAATGACGGACAGACAGACGAATAGAACGACGGACGGACGGACGGACGGACGGACGGACGGACGGACGGACAGACAGACAGACAGACAGACAGACAGACAGACAGACAGACAGATAGATAGATAGATAGATAGATAGATAGATAGAAAGGATAGAACGACGGACAGATGGAGAGACAGACAGACAGACAGACAGACAGACAGACAGACAGACAGACAGACAGACAGACAGACAGACAGACAGACAGACAGACAGATAGATAGATAGATAGATAGATAGATAGATAGATAGATAGATAGATAGATAGATAGATAGATAGATAGATAGATAGATAGATGAAAGGATAGAACGACGGACAGACGGACAGACAGACAGACAGACAGACAGACAGACAGACAGACAGACAGACAGACAGACAGACAGACAGACAGATAGATAGATAGATAGATAGATAGATAGATAGATAGATAGATAGATAGATAGATAGATAGATAGATAGATAAATAGATAGATAGATAGATGAAAGGATAGAACGACGGACAGACAGACAGACAGACAGATAGACAGATAGATAGATAGATAGATAGATAGATAGATAGATAGATAGATAGATAGATAGATAGATAGATAGATAGATAGATAGATAGATAGATAGATGAAAGGATAGAATGACGGACAGACAGACAGACAGACAGACAGATAGACAGATAGACAGATAGATAGATAGATAGATAGATAGATAGATAGATAGATAGATAGATAGATAGATAGATAGATAGATAGATAGATAGATAGATAGATAGATGAAAGGATAGAACGACGGACAGACAGACAGACAGACAGACAGATAGACAGATAGACAGATAGATAGATAGATAGATAGATAGATAGATAGATAGATAGATAGATAGATAGATAGATAGATAGATAGATAGATAGATAGATAGATAGATAGATACGTAGGTGTGAATGTGTAAATTATTCAGAGATGGACTGAATTAAACATGATAATAATTTAAATAAATGCTGTTCAAATCAGCCTAAAATATATATATATCATGGTTTCCATAGAAATGTAAGATGCTTCTGTCAAAAACACATCTAAGCAACCTATGCTAGCTCCATATATCTCACATCACTCTTTTCTGCTTGCATAATAAAACTGTCATGCTTAAATGAGTATTTTATATTGTATTTACTGATTTTCTTTTCGGTGGTTTAATCTACAATCAGTCAAAGCATCTTCTTTCCTGACTACTCTGTCCTAGTTTTCAGTGCGATAGTTATTTACTGTGCTATTACACTGAATCTATACGGTGCGTGTGGAGTGACTGCATCAGAGCTGCGGACTCAGACGAGACTGCAGTAAACGTGCTGCAGTGAGCCCCACAAACACAAGATTACTTACTATTCTGCTCACACGCATTTGCACAACCACTCGCGCATTTAAACAACGAAAAGAGCTGCGAGTGAAAGGAGCGGTTGGTTATTTTGCCACCGAATCGAAAAATAACAGAACAGTTCCTTTGTACAGTCCTTCTGTCTGTCATCATTTTTCTCACCCTCGTGTTGCTCCAAACCCGAATGACTTTCTTTCTTCTGCGGAAAATGAAAAAGGAAGAATTGAGGACACGAGGATTCAATTCTCTAAACTGACCCGATTCATTGAGGAATCAGAACTTTGACTCGGAAATCTGGTTAACAAAGCTGAGAGAAAGTCAGTAGTAATTGTGCAGAAATTATTTATTTTTATGATAATGTTATTGCGGTTTTTCAGGCTTTCACATGCCCATTAGGGTTGGATATCGTTTGTTTTGTTTTTTTTTCGATACCGATGCTGAATCGATACTTTTAAAACGATACCGGTGCCAAAACGGTGCCTGAACCAATACGGTAACACTTTATAATAACTACACACTATTAATCATTTGTTAAGCATTAGCAAATAGTGAATTCATTATCCGTTAAGCATTAACTCTACATTAATAAACGTTAGTAAGCAGTTTATAACTGCTGCTACAAATGCTCTATTCTTGACTTATAACCACATTTAAAATGTGCTTAATAATTGTATTTTCATACTTAGTAAATGATTTATTTTTCATTACTAAATTAAGTATCGCATTATTTACTAACCAGGAGTATTTAAGAGTAGTTGAGGGTTTTTAGGATCATTCAGAATAAGTTAGTAAATGATTAATAAACTATTGAAATTAACGTTTATATGTCTTATTATTCAGGCATATACTAATAGTCAACTAATATGTTAATAAATGCTTTATTAACTCAACTTCATGCAGTTTTGTGACCTAATCTAAAGTGAGGACTATTTATGATTTATAAATCCCTTATAAATGACAAATAAATGCTCAGAATCAAATGAACTATAATCTTTGCAATCTTTTCTAAAATGTAAAATTACTGTAAAGTTTAAACATTGCTGAATAACAGGAGTGTCAAAATACAACAAAACTGGATAAAACA